CGTAGGCCAAAGTTTTAGGCGACGCTGGTGGTCTTGTAAACGCTAGGATCACAGTCCTGGTAGCAAGACTGTGAGGTGTTTTAAATGCCTAGCGACTTGACACACACGCGTCAAGTGTGAAAGTTGTTTTGACTGCAGCGGACTTTGTTTCCGTTGTGGTCGACCGGGGCAGAATGCTCTGCCGCCCCTCACTAGCCAGGCCAGGCCTAGCCAGTCGACCCAGGCTGCCTCCGACGATGTTTCATCATCGTCGCCCATAGAGGAGGTTGTTGAGACGGCCCAGTAATGGACCAAGTCTCCAACCTCCTTGTCCAGACGAACCTAAACCATTTTGCCAATGCGCAGGACCTCTTCCTGCAAACTATGGCGCAGTGGTCGATCGGTGTGGCCGTAGCCGCGGAGCCCTATTATGTTCCTCCCACTGGGATGACTGGGAGCCATTTTTCACTCTTGGCTGTCTCCGGAGGCACCGACTGAGGAGGTCAACATGGGCGCTGTTAACTTTCGTCATAGTCGTCATCTGGACCTGATCCTTGACGGGAGATGGCTCTTCGACGAGCACTTCCGACAGCTTGCTCCAAAGCTGGTCGGCGCTGCATCGCTGCCCTAGGGCGACGTTTACCCAATTTGGGTGGACCCAGCGTCGCAATGAGACGGCTGTACATGGGGGTGGTCAAGTCAGTGGCACTGTACGGTCCACCGGGCCATTAGCCTCTGGCGCCCGTAGAGGATAATGGCGGTTAGAGCCATACGCGGTTTCACGGAGGCAGCCTTTAGTAGTCCACTGCTGGACATAGGGTCTCCTTAGAAAGTAGGTTTTGGGCCTACTATACCACGCTGGCCGGGTTGGTATAGGGTTTGTTTCAAGTTTTCCTTCTCTTTGCAGTGCTGTTGTCCTGCGTAGTTTGCTCCCTTAGTCGGCTCTTACGACACCCGGGATGATTAGGGGTAATGACACTCCGTTCTATTTTCATCAACAGCCTTTAATAGTCCAGACGGGTCCAGACGTGTTGGTATAGGGTTTGTGTCAACTTTTCCTGCTCTCTGTCCTGCGTAGTTATTTCCCTTAGTCGGCTCTTACGACACCCACGGGATGGATAGGGGTGGTGACACTCTGTATTATTAATCCGTCACCACACGGACAATTTCTTTCTATTTTATATATGAATAAATACATATAAATAAATATCAATAATTCAATAAACAATATATATTTCTTTCGGGTTTTGATGTTCTGATTCTTCGTTTTGTTTACAGATTTTATGTAACAATTTTATAACATCTTTTGTAAAAAACGCTTTTATGAACACGGTAGATAAAATTGTTTGTTTACTAGAAAAAAATCAGCTGAATTACTCGTTTCAGTTAGAGATAAGAAACAACAACAAGAAAGGGAGAGGAGCAGGAAGTTTCTATATATTTTACGAGTGGACATATTTTGGCAGACAAATAAATGGTTTCCTTTACTAATAAAACTGCTATTTGTCGGCCAAGTTTAGACCAAAATGAATCAAATACAAGCATTAAGTCACAGGGTCGTTGCAGTATTTGATGATATATATGTCATCGATATATATATATATGTTTATTTTATATTGAGGACACAAAAATTTACACTACAAGCAAGAAACTTTCAACTTTATTATATCTCACACCCAATCTGATTCCAAACTTACCTAGTTTGAAGTGTACTTACTAGTTGTCTGTTTGTATACTACCTGTATACTGCGGTAACCAGACTGCTGACATATATCCTAATTAAATATTTCTAAATACACACAAATTATAGATAAAAATATCCCAGATATGATATTTAGCATAATAAGAGTGTTTATTAATTTCAAGCTCACCAGTCGAATATTGTAACGACCAAGTGACCTTATGGTTATTATTATATTCGATTTATTTTGGTGTAAGCTTAGCACAAGACCACAGACATCTCGCCAAGAACTTGATATGTATTTGACAAAGGTAATGATTTTCATAATGAGATAAATAAATATGTTTTGTAGTTTGTAAAATCATCGTTTACATTGTTTTTAACTTTGTAGTAATTGTGTAGTTCGTAAGTATTATATTGTTATGTATAAATATATAGACTATTAATATACTTTTATATTTAATTAAATAGAGTTTTAATATTTTTCTAGTTGATATTTTCTGTAAATTATATTCGAATATAATCAAGATCATGTAATGAAGTATGCTACTGTTTACTATTATGTGGTACAAATGTTTGATATGAATATCCAAAAGCTGAAATGACCGTCAAAGAAAGTATACAAATATGTATGAATATTTAAATCGACTAACCTGAAGTACATAAGCAGGACTAAAATGTTACCGGAGCATCCGATGCCTCCTAATACAATATATGTACCGGCAAATGTGTAAAAGAACAGAGGGTCTGGAGGGGGAAATTGCAACCAGTAAATATTGATATGCAGTAAGTAATCGTCTGTAAACATTCCAAGTTTGCGCCACTTTTCAACTGGCCAACGTTTCAAAAACTTATCAATTATCTCCAAAGTACTTTTGGAAACATTTAACTCCTCCCTTTTATAGCTTAGGCTATATGGAGATGATTTAACTTCATTCTCAACACTATTTGATATTTCTAATCTACCATTTTTATTACTAATGTCATGTTTTATTTTATCTGCTGTCCTTCTTCGTTTTTTCCACTGCTTTAGGTCGTCAAAACGATGTCTCAAAAAATCACTATGACACTTAAATGGATTAAAATACACTGTTTTAGTTACAATGTTATATTTACATTCGTATGTTACACTGTGTGTCTGATTTAACCGAATTAATTCCACTGACGGTGTCGAAGTATTTTCATTGACACAATAAACTATGTTTGAAAGTGACACTAAAGCGATAATTACAATACACAACATACTATTTACGACTTGTCGCGGATGTTGCCGGGTGTAAGATCTATAGGGCACAACCGTTCGCGATGGTTACCGAGACAAAATGTAAGTCCAAGTGCGTCATGGAGAGTCGAATCGTGTGCCGGATGTGGTACAACTGTTAACCGTACTCCACACTTCAAAACTTTATCAGTCGGGAAATGCTGCGAGAACGGAATAATTTAAAAATAGAAAATGTTGGTAGGTATGTACAGCTATTATTAGCAGCACGATACTGCACGCTATCTTAAATAGTGTATGATTTAATGGTCTTTGATAAGTGTCACTTTTTAAACTTTGCTGTTAGTTTGTTTTAAACCCAGCAATTTTTTTCCAATAACTTCCACTTAACAAAATCGTTATATCCACTTACAACCCTTAAAAACACCTTTAATGAAGTAATAAATATCTTCGTTTTTGAGATTAAGTTCTAAGAAAATTAAAATTAACTCTGCCAAGGCCTGCCTTTCGTTTAACTCTGAATTGTTTGAGACTGAGAATCTGTTTACATACTACATAATATGTAATGTTGATGAATGATTAGATTATATTGGGATATAGAGGTAGTTTTCTGTACTAGTTTTCTGTTTTCTGTACAAAAGTAAGGTAATTCTGTTCAGCTTTGTTATGACTACTATATTATATGAATTTCAGTTTTTTTGCATTGCTATTGTGTTTTTTACAACAGCTACAAAACTTATAAGAATGCTTTTTAATTTGAAAATTTAATGTTAATACAACATGAGATGAAAGATTTTAAAAGCTTTCTTTGTATTTTTATAATTAAAAGATTGAATGATTTATTTGCGTATTATATCTCTATCTATCTCTATGTATTATCTTACATCGATGAAGGTACTTATTTACTACACCTATTAAATGACTTCTCCTTCTCTCTGTTATGTAGGTTTAATGTCACAAGCTTCTTCAATTACGGATGGAATTTTATTCATTCTAAGATATTAGATATAAATTATTTCATGACTTGATTTATTAAGTCCTAGATTTTGTATACTTTTGTATACTCGCGTGAATGTTGTTATTTAACCCTCAGCAACACTTTTTTTCTGTATGAAGGTTCTGATCTCTCGTTCTATTTTTTAAACACGCGTATTTTCATGACGACCAAACAAATAAAAGAAATCACTTTCGCTTTAATCCGATTCTGTCAATTAGATTAGTAAGAACCTAGTGTCAAGTAGAAAGTCAGCTGATAGTGATCACCATAGAAGGCTGAGTCTCATAAATTATAGTTAAGAACCATCTCGATGACATTAACTAATAACAAACAAAATCATTATCATTACCTAATTCTTTAGGGAACTACGAGGCTAATTATCTGTATATCTATCCGTGTGCCTGTCACACACGGATAGATATACAGACACATAAACATACACGTCAAGTTTATAACATCCTCATTTGATGTCGTGCTTAAAGAATGTTTATAGCCTAAAAACATAATGGATCTGGTTGGTATAGGCAATCACGTGATCGTCCAGACTATTTAAGCCTTTTTTTTTTATTATGTTTAATTTATTTCACTTTGTTTAACGAAACCTAGTTACAAACATATGTGTTTCGACAGGTAGCCTCTTGCGAAAGAATTCATAGCTTTAAATAGAAAATTTAGGTATGTCTATCGATTTTTGAAGCAACTACTTAGAATTCACTGCAAGAAAAATATAACTATAAGTGATCACGTCACTTGAGCGTTACGTTAAAAAAGTGAAAGCAATACGGCAGTGAAAGTTCTATGAAAGAAAGATTCATACCCTCCTATTCTCCAATCATATACTTTTTTATGTTGAGTTTAACAATTAACAACAATAAGAAACTTCAATTTATTTGGTTTCATGAGGATTTTCAAAACAATAACCGTTTAGAGCCTTAAGAAATCTTGCAAAATTCATAGAATTCATAAAAGTACGTGGAAATAATAAATGTTGATTTTACTAAAAAAAATCAGTCAGCAAAATTTTTGCGTACTTATCTCTTTTTTTAAAGTGGGCTGTCGCTTTGAAATATAAAAGCACACAGATGCCATTTTAAGTAGAATATGGACATGATACAAAATTGTTCTCACCTAAGATACATCAGCAAAACGATGATATTTCCCCAACAGCCGACTGTGGAAAATAGCACGTAGAATCCTCCCAACGCCTTCTGGGCAAATTCACTAGGAGGTGGAAACTGCAGCCAGTGATCGTTGATCAATTCTAGATAATCGTCAGAGAAAAGTCCCCACTTTTTCCACTGTGATACAGGCCACATTTGCTTGAAGTTTGCCAACAATAAAGCGTGCTTACTCACAACCGAAGTGTTAGCTGAGTTCGTAAGGTTCTTCGATTCAAGTTCACTTGTTACTCTATAAGCTATTTCTGCATCCGTTTCGTTTACAGAACGCTTTTCCCTACCTAATTGCATTTGAAGAATTGTTCTGGCTTCCCATCTTTTTAAATGGTTTACTCTATTAAATGAATACTTATTAACTTTATTTCCAATTTCTTTGACTTTTAGCTTATACATCAAGTCGAAATAGCATATTATAAAAACAAAAAATAAACTAATAACCAAACAATTTTTCATATTGTGCAAGTGTCGTGGTGAACGCGACATGCTCGTATGAAATGTCGTGTTTTATAAGAAGTAAAGTTTATTTGCGTCTTCGTCGATAGCCTAAAGACCCGACCTCGTCCAGCGGCCGTTCCCTGAGGACCACTGAGAATTTATGCTTAAGTGGATTAAAGTGGACTGCTTTTTATAAAATCTGTATAGAATTGGCGGTTAATAAGACGATTATTAAGTTGATGATATATACTCTTGAGTCTCCTTGACCACATGAGATGTGGGAAGGTAGAATACATTCAGCCTAACGGTAAGGCGTGTAAAAATCTTTAGAGTTAGAACTACCTTATAATTTCTTATCTAAGTTTTTACGTAAATTGAGGCAAAATCGGTGTTCATCATTTTCTGCTTATAGAATAGGTTATGTTATTGTTATATGGGGGGTAATAAAATAACTATAACTTGATTGTAAAGATAAAGTACCTGGCAGTAAATATGTCTCACTATTAAGGTACTAACTTAGGGAGGTAGGGGCTGTTCTTGGGTACCAAAACAAATACTAAGTAAGATGGAAGCTAACTTCGTGAAAGAACAGAGTATTTAGTTAGTTAATAACTAACTAAATACTCTGTATGACCTGTATTTACCCAATGATGTAAAACCATGTAGTCTGTGAGGTGACGGATTAAGAATACGGAGTGTCACCACCCCTATTCATCCCGTGGGGGCCGTAAGAACCGACTAAGGGAACAAACTCAATCGTAATTCGTAAAATCGTTATTGGCTTTAAATTATCCTCAATTATTTTCTTTCGTATAACTATCCGAAAATAATGTTGTCCATTATAGCTTTTTCTTGAAAAATTCAGCTATCAGAATTATTTTCCCCATATTATATTCAATGCAATGAAGTGAAATAATGTTAAAATGGTTCATTTAGTTTCGCAATTTGTATGTGAATACATACACAGATATATGTAAATCTATGTATGACATCGTATCGTTATCTGAATTTCATTCATACATCGTCATTTTCCTGTTTTCGTCTGTTGTTGTTATTCAAACAACATTGTTTTTCCCGTAAACAAAATACTTCAAGATAACTCAGAAACATATGTGATTATAAGAATAGTTCTTTATATCACTTATAGTATTGCCAATTTGGGAATATCGAATTACATATTGAGAGATAATTAATCAAAGGAGACCGTAAACGTCCGATGCAGAACGTCTGAGTGATTACACAAGGTTATATTCATATAATCGGCTTTTCGGGAGATTAATAAATATGCGATTGCATGTATGGCTCAGTTGCTTAAATGATAACTGCGTAGTAGATACTTAATAGGTATTTTAATGAGTGTAAGATTCCTACGTCAACGATTGCTTGTGTTATGACAGACTTTACGAAAAAATACTTTAATATTTTTAGGGTTCACATAAGTATGTATGTGACCTTTTTTACTCTCCGTAACTTCTAAATGTTTGTACAGAGTTGTATGGGGTACCGTTACAATTCGTAAGTCCCGAGTAACACTAGCTCTATTTTTTATTTCGGTAATATACGTACCGGCCGTATGTTTTGTTGTCAAAAATGAATTATTAGGGCAGTAAATTCTGCAAAAGAGCGTAAATTAACAAACAACATTTATTTACATATATATTTGCTTTGGGCACCTTACAACCTTACAATCAGACGGACGTGTTTTTTTGTCATTCTAGAAACTTAACAATACGGTGCACATTAACAGTATTTATACCTTGAAGTTTAATATATTGTTCTATAATACCGTGTTTCTTCCTTTAGTAGTAATTGACAATTAATTGCTGTTTACTGTTGTGTTACATGTTGTATCTTTCGATTGTGCCACTTATTAGAGTATATGTTCATAAGAACATGGTTTACGTGACCATAAGTGTCGCCGTTCCCAGCTATTGGAGGCTTATATCTTGTTAATTGGGCTAGGCTTGTTAATTGCTTTAAACCTAGTAGACAGGTAGAATTAGCGAAAACAACGTGAAAATCCCTCAAATTCCTATTATAGCCAAATCATTGTTTTTATCAATGATTCAACTATCAGAAGTTGATTGTAATAAAAATTATAACAAAATATTGTCAGGCAAGTGCCAAAAATTTTTCAAAAATGGTCAAAACCAGTTTTTCGCGTCTGGAGCGAAAACAAAAGCTCCTACGAAAAAAGTTGAGTATAAAAATGTGCGCAATTAAAAAACAAAGAGAATGAACCCCCGGAGAACATACTCGGACCATCAGAAAGCCCAAAATTTGCAAAACACCACGTTTTTTGACCACGTGTAATTAGAGTTAAATTTTCGGGTTGTTTTGTAAACTTCTTGCAGACCGTCGACTTGTGTAAAAATTGACCTTTATTTCAAGCGATTGGAAGGATCTTTTAATTTTTGAAAAACGTTATTAATTTTAAAATATCCAAATTTTGAGATTATTTGATAAATATTTTGTTTAAACAGTCAATAAAGTACAGGAACTTTTTGCGCGTGCGGTTGTGGCGCGAGTGAAGGGGCAGTAACCAGTCGATGTAGCTCTGAATTTGCAAAAAAATGATTTCTAAGGGTTCCTTAATTTTGTGTTAATCTATAATTAATCACATGAAACATCGCTTAAAAAAAAAAAAAAAAAATTAAACATGTGTTTTTTATCGCGTGCTTTTTAACGGTCATTCCCTCCCTTGTGTTAAATGTGATACACGCTCGTTAACATTGAATTTAAAAAAACAAACAAGTAAGTTAATACGAAATAAATGAAGAAGAAGTAGAAGAAGAGGAAGAAAAAGTGACTGAATATGTTATGACATGTAAAAAACAAAAACTATCCATCTCATGGTATGGCATATTTTTTATTTTGAATAAATGATAATGATATTATTATTGTACACGCCGTGCTTTTATTTATCAATCCAGCGCTCTATACATCCTTAAGATATTACGTATATTTCTTTTAGACTACTTACATATTTTTAGGTATAGTGCAGAAGGGTCTTCTCGATTACAAATGTTGTATCTATTCCCTCAGTCTCTTAATAGCCAGGGACAGCAATCCGATCCGCAGAGAAGGATCACCGCTGGACCGTCGGCTATAAGCCCTTCTTGAAGTACAGGGGTGTAATATTATCAACATTATAAAGGATTAGGGTCATATTGTAGTTATATTGTCAGGAGCTTTTATGGTAAGATTTATTTTTTAATTAGATTAATTAGATCAATCAGAATTTTATGTATCTATTTAAAGTTTATGGTTGTACTTTCGGGTCGTGAAATAATAGTCGATTTGTGTTTGAACTGTTTTTTATAGTCAAGGCATTATAGTAAATGTGAGCTTTTGAAACTAATAACGTCTGTATAGAAGTGGAAACGTCTAATATACATATTGTTTTTTGTAGGTACAGTCATTAAAATAGTTAAAAATTAAATGGACCATTTGATTTTATCTATCCAAGTTCTTTGTTGTATGTCTTTGTAATATTTGTAGCACGATAGCATTTATTACTTGTAGTAGTTTCTTCTAGTTTTCGATCTGAATATTACTAGGATCCTAAAGATTGATTAATTTAAGCCCTTAAACTGTTGCCTAATCCATTATTAGTTTCCTTTAGTCTGAAAGGCACTTCAAAGGTACATAAGCAATGGGCTGTTTAAATATTAACCGTAATTGAATAGGGATTTCATTCCCTGAATGCGATTAATTAATAATAAAATTAGTAATAAGGCCTTGCACTCCATAAACCGTTTCTATTGGCATGATGGGATTAAGTGGTGGCCAATTGAGGAGTTAATTTTGAATGAATTTTGCCAAGCGCATAGTTTCGAACATACTAGTTTTCGTAAGTAATTTATTAGAGACATTATTGTTTCGTATTTATTGATGATTATTAGTTGATGATCTGAATATTAAAACTAATAAAGTGTCGGATATATGAGAGGGAAAAAAATACTTTTAATCCCGACAATGGATATGGATTAAAATCGTGAGGTAAATCTATTTCTTTCTTCGAGCACTATCCAGGATTATATTATAATTTAATGTGAGACTGAAAGTCGTTAAGAAGTAGAAAGATTTCAATACCTTATAATGTACAGTTTACTATAGTTTTTATAATAATAATAATATAATATTGTACCACATTCACACAACGCCATCTAGTCCCAAACTAAGCAGAGCTTGTACTATGGGTAATAGATAACTGATATAAATACATATATACTTTTTTTTGTAAATACATACTTATTATACATAGAAACACCCAGACCAAATCAAACATTAAATGTTCATGCACTCAAATGTTTGACTTGAGCGGGAATCGAACCCGCGACCTTTGGAATAGCAGTCCGTTACACTAACCACAAACTATCTTTATGAGAATTATCTCTTTAACAAGTATTTAATTTAATATTAAAAGGGAACACTAAAGTATTATTCACCCACACATTCATAGTATTACGGGTATCGTATCGTATTGTATTATATAACAAAAAATAGACGTGATTTTATCATATTTATTAATTTATGAGTTGCCAACATTTGTTTACACACTACCTAAATGCCATACAATGAATATTAAAACTAATATAGTGTCGGATGTAGGAGGGAAAAAATATATATTTGTTTACACACTTCCAAAATTTCAGAAACAAATAATATTAAGTAAAGTGTAACAAATTCTTATAGGCCAATACAACATGCACTTTTTTGACACTTTTTCTATACAAAAGAAGAAAACTAAAACTGCACGATTATTTTTCTCTATAATATTCTAAAAGTGTAAATCGGAACTTATTAAGCGAGACTACATTGATGTCGACAAAAGCACTAGATTGATTTGCCAA